CCGCTGCAGCAGCAGCAGCAGCAGCTGCTGCTGCTGCTCCATCCTGTGTAGCGCCGCCGTTCTCGAGCTGCTGCTGCTGCTGCTGCTGCTGCAGCTGCAGCACATCGAAGTTTGGCCGCTGCACGAGCAGCACTTTAATAATCCGCATAAGCTGTGCATGCGGCAGCTGCTGCAGCAGCTGCTTCTTTGCAATAGAAGGATAAAGAAGGTTTAAGTAAAACACCAGCTCCTTTAAGCGGCTTACATTAAAAACAAACAATACATGCGACTCTAATGCAGACAGAATCTCAGAAAGAAATGATGCAGCAGGGGCTGGCAGCACAGCAGCAGCAGCAGCAGGGGCCCCCGGGGGCCCCACACCACCGCCTAAGAAAGCCAAACCCAAAGGATTCAATTGCTGCTGCTGCTGCTGCTGTTGCTGCTGCTGCTGCTGTGGCGTTTGCCCCGGCTGAGGCAGCAAACCAACAGCCCCGGCACCGCCGGGAGCCGCCGTTCCTGCTGCTGCTGCTGCTGCTGCTTCCGCTGCAGGGTCCGATGCAGCGCTGGTTGTGGGGTTTGCTGTTGCTGCTGCTGCATTGGCAGTGCTGTTGTTCTGGCCGTTTGCTGCTGCATCGTTTGCAGGGACTACTGCGGTTGGTGGTGCTGCTGCAGCTGCTGCTGCTGCTGCTGGGGTTAGTGCTGCTGCCGGCGCGCTGCTGCCTAAAGCAGGGATACCAGCAGCAGCAGCAGATAAAGATGTCTCCAGAAAATTACGCAGAGAGAAAAGCAAAAATATTATTATCTCCTTGTAGAGGCCCAAGCTGTCGGCTCCTGCTGCAGCAGCAGCAGCAGCAGCACCCTGCTGCTGCAGCAACCCGAAAGCAGCAGGGGAGACGCCAGCACCAGGGAAAGCTGCTCCCAGTCCTGCTGCTGCTGCGACTGCTGCTGCGTTGTTTGCTGCTGCAGGCCCGCCGCCAGCAGCAGCAAGCTGTGGGGCCCCCATCAGCTGCATAAACACTCCGCTGCTGTCCGCAGCCGCAGCAGCAGCAGCAGCAGCAGAATTAAAGAACATCGAAGAGCCTCCGCCTAGAGCCCCTAACCCTCCAAACCCTTCTACGCCAGCCCCGAGCTTCCCCACAGACTGCATGCACACAAACATACCGCATACAGATCTAAATGCATGCATGCATGCATGCACAGAAAGCCCCAAACACACACTCTCGGACCCCACACACTACATGAACAGAGAGCCTCAACTACACAGCCCCACGCATGCGTGCAGCCATGCATGTGGGGCCGCATGCAGCGCATGCAAGAGAGCAGCCAGCAGCAGCGAGACGTACTGCTAACTCCAGTAAGGAAGCAAAAGGCGAAGGTGCAGCACAAAGAGGCGCTCCCGGGATCGTCTCCCCGTTCCTAAACAAAGGCCCCACAACGCATGCAAAGAAACCCCACACGTCATAACCCCCACTCAGAAGCAGCAGCAGCAACAGCAGCAGCAGAAAATGCAGCAGCAACAGACGCAGCAGGAAATGCAGCAGCAGCAGCAGCAGCAGGTGACCTACTCAGCTGTTAAGCCTTCCATCTGAAAGCCTTGGGGTGTATCGCCAACTCCCTGCAGTTTAGGCTGCTGCTGCTGCCGTTGCTGCTGCTGCTGCTGCTGCTGCTGCGCCTCTCTATCTCGGCCCCCTGGGAGCTCCTTTGCGTCTCCGTTCCTTGGCGTTGCTCCTGCAGCCTGCTGCTGCTGCACCCTTACAACGAGTGCCGGCGCAGCACCAGCTTGCTGCTGCTGCTGCTGCTGCTGCCTATTGGGCGCCATAAGTGAGCCCGCAGCAGCAGCAGCTGCTGCTGCTTCTGCTGCTACCGGAGCTGCTGCTGCACCGTTTGGCAGCGCTGCTACAGTAGGACCTCCTGCTGCTGCTGCCGCAGCAGCAGCAGCAGCTGCTGCTGCTGCTGCATCATCAATCTTCGGCAGCTGCAGCCCTAAGCCCATGCTGCTTGTGTCTCCTCTTAAGTAAGCATCTAAGAAGGACCCAATAGAACCGTCTAGATATTCAGCACCCCCGAACAGCTGCCCCATTCCACAAGGGCCTGCTGCTGCTGCTGCTGCTGCTGCAGCTGCTGCAGCAGCTGGATCGAGCCCCGGCATACCTGCTGCAGCAGCAGCAGCAGCTGCTGCTGCAGCCTGTGCCGCTGCCATCGAAGGCGCCTTTGCGGGTATCGGTGCTGCTCCTGCTGCTCCCGCTGCTGCTGCTGCTGCTTGTGCTGCTGTTGTTGCTGCTGCTCCTGCTGCTGGAGTAAGGGGCCGGCGGCTTCTCTTTATCTGTCCACCTCCTTCTGCAGCAAATTTGCTGCTAAACACTCGCCGTCTCCGGAGCTGGGATCGTGTCGATCCCCGCCTCCCCTCCGATCCCGGGAGCCACGAAGCAGCTCCTTCATCTTCATCTTCACGCCCCTCATCTGCTGCTGCTTCACTTGCTTCTGCTGCTCCTGCTGCTCCTGCTGCTCCTGATGCTGCACCCCCAGCAGCACCACCCGCACCACCAACTGCTGCTGCTGCTGCTGCTGCTTCACCAGCAGCTGCAACGCCATCAGCCCCAATACGGGAACCATCCTGCGAATAAATATAAGCAAACAGCAATTGCACAAACTGCTGCTGCTGCTGCAGTGTTGCTGCTGCTGCTGTTGCAGCAGCAGCACGAACGAAGCACCACCCCATACATAACGGCAGCAGCAGCAGAGCAGCAACCCTCAACCTCACGCAGCAGCAGCAGCACGCTGCAAAGCCACGAAAACAACGCGCACAGTACCACAACCAGCAGCAGCAGCAGCAGCAGCAGCAGCAAGAGAGGCAGCCTCACCGCCGTGCGTGGTGTTTCTTGTTTAACAGCAAACTCATTCGGAGCTACACTCCGTGCTGCTGGCGTCCTGCGGAGGCTTCGATCCCTCAGGCCCAGCTGCTGCTCTTGTTGCTGCCGACATTCTGCAGCAAACACCAGCAGCAGCAGCAGCAGCAGCAAAGACATGTTCACCCGGAACGCAAAGAACCCGGGAACAGCAGCAAACGCAGCTGCTGAGGCAGCAGCAAAATCCTAGCAGCAACAAATGATCATCAACGGCCCCAGCAGCAGCAGCAGCACCAACAACAAGCGCAACAGCAGCAGCAGCAGCACCACCACAACCACAACTACCACAGGCAGCAGCAGCAGCAGCACCACCACCACCACCACCACCACCACAACTACCACAGGCAGCAGCAGCAGCAGCAGCAGCAGCAGCAGCAAGGGGGCTTGCCTGTGGCCAGTCTATAGGCTTGATAGAAACCCAACTTATTCACAGAAAATTTTCTCTCCACGCGCCGCTTCGTTTGCGGGTCGTACCTAAACAAGAGCAGCAGCAAAACAAACAGCAGCAGCAGCAACATCAAATGCAGCAGCACAGACAGCAGCAGCAGCAACAAATAGAGCAGCAGCACCTAGTACGGCAGCACTATCAACAGAACCAGCAAATACAGCAGCAGCAGAGCCAAGAGCAGCAACAACATAAACAATAACAGCAGCAGCAGGAGCAGCAACAGCAACAGCAGCAGCAACAGCAGCAGCAGCAAGTGCTTACCAGCTTGCCCTCCACGTCTTGTTAACCTTATCGAAGCGGACCCCCACGACTTTCGGAAGTGCTGTGCGTTGCTGCTGCTGCTCCAAGTCTTGCTGCTGCTGCTGATCTAGCTGGTGCTGCTGCGGTGTGGGTGGCAGCAACTGCTGCTGAGGCAGCAATAAACCCTTCACGCCAGCGCCGTAGTCCTGCTGCAGCAGCTGCTGTTGGTGCTGCTTTAGCTGCTGCTGCAGCAGCAGCTGCTGCTGTAGCAACAATGCAGAGGAGACATCTACGCCGCCTGCGACGTGGTACATAGAAACCATATCTTGCTGCTGCTGCTCCAGCTGCTGCAGCTGCAGCTGATGCAGCTGCTGCTGCTCTAGCTGCTGCTGCATTTGCTGCTGCTGCAGTTGCTGCTGCTGCAGCTGGTGCTCTAACGGTAGCTGATCAGCAGCCCCTGTAACATCGTGCAGCGTGGCGGGGTGCTGCAGCTGAGGCTGCAGCTGCTGCTGCTGCTGCAGTTGCTGTTGCTGCAGCTGCTGCTGCTGCTCCAGCTGCTGCTGCAGCTGCTGCTGCTGCAGTTGCCCCTGCAGCGGCTCATCCTTGATCGGGTTCGCTGCAGCGAAGGCAGCAGCCTGTACAGACGGGTCAGCAGCCGCGGGGGCAGCAGCAGGTGTCGGTGTTGTTGCTGCTGCTGCTGCTGGGGACGGCTCGGGTGTACATACACCGTCAAGCTGCAGTTGCATGGGGTCCGTTGCTGCTGCTGCCGCTGCTGCTGCTGCGTTCTCCTGCTGCTGCTCCTCCGCTGTGCGGTATAGAGACGTGTAGGTAGCTCCTTGACTATTGGTGTCGCTGCTTGGTGTTCGGCTAGCTGCTGCTGCTGCTGCTGCTGCTGCTTCAGGGACCAAGGGCTTCTGCTGCTGCTGCTGCTGCAGCAGCAGCGTTAGTTGTTGCTGCATCCTTCTGCACCCACACACCAGCTGGAACGAAGACAATCACTTTGGCGGATTGTCAGAGGCGCAGCAGCAGTATATCCAATAGTGCAAGCAGGTGTACGTACACCCGACTGCAGCAGCAGCAGCAGCAGCAGCAGCAGCTGCCGCTGCTGCCGATAGAACGGAACCGTACGAGTAGATAGAAGACTGGAGGCAAGAAAAGAAACAGAAGCAGGGGTGGAGGGACGCGGCTTACTTTGGTGCTGCTGCAGCAAAGGTTCCTATGCAGCAGCAGCTGCTGCTGCTGCTGCTGCTGCTGCTGCTGCGTCTCTCTAGGCTCCCGCTGCGTTAGGACGAGGCATTCATCCAATAGAGAAGCAAATGAACGCGAAATCGAGGCACAAGAATGATTGAGCTGCCGCTGCTGCTGCTGCTGCTACTGCTGTCGCTACAGGTGCTCCCCTGCTGCTGCTGCAGGCAGAGCTGCTTGCGGCGTTGTGTGTTGCTGCTGCTGCTGCTGCAGCACAACGCATGCAATAAGCAGTGTAAAAAACGTTCTTTATCTTCAATAGCACTTGGCTGCTGTAGCAGAGAAGCTGCTGCTGCAGCCCTGGGGCTGGGGGCAGGCACAAAGGCGAGAGGCCGCGAGAGGCAAGATGCTGCTGCTGCTGTGCTGCTGCAGCAGCAACAAACAGCTTCTATAAGAAGTGCGTAAACTAGAGTTATTTACTTGATTGAGCTACATTCGCTGACGCTCCGACAACGGGTACAGCAGCCAGTTGGCGGCTGCTGCTGCTGCTGCTGCTGCTGCGGCGGCGAGGGTGGCAGCAAGGGCTGCAGCAGCAGCAGCTGCTGCTGCTGCTGCTGTTGCTGCAGGACGCCAGACTGAAGCGGCAGCTGCTGCCTTGGGTATTAATCGAGTTTGATGGCTTTTGCTTCTCCTTTGTTGCATTAGAATAAAATTTAATATTTATTTTAATATTTATTTACAAGAAATATATAATAAAGGGGTGAAAGCAAAGAAAGAGCGGCTGCTGCACCACACAGCGTTTGCTGCTGCACTCTGTTTGCTGCTGCATTTATTTTTGCAGACAGTTGGGGCATCCAGCAGCAGCAAATTCTTCTAATAACACCAAATGCATTTAAAAAGCTCGTATTAAGTATATTTACAGCAGCAAGCAGCGCCGATGCCTATGTATATGCATATACATATACGTATATATGTACATAACAAGCTAGAACCCTCGTTATTAGTATTATTATACGCTATTATTGTTCTTATTATACTTAAGCCGTCTTAACTCAGCGAAGAACAATCAAAGAAAGAGTCTCTATAGAGCAGAAACTAACTCAGCTTCAATCCCTAGTCATGCAGTTAGCAGCAGCAATACAGAGCTGAGGAGACAGACAGCTGAAGACTTAAGAATAGCTTAATGCTTTCAATAGGGTCAATGCTGCGCTGCAGGATCTCCTTGCATGCATATACATCTAAACTCTCTTATCTTCTCTGAACAAACCTCTTAAACTATTGCTTTACTCTCTGATTACATATGTTTTTATATATCTCCCCAGCACAACAGGCTTCACTAAAAGCTATCTAACAGGAGGCCTCAAGACATCAGTTGAGGGTCTAACTCTGCTACGTAAATGCAGTTAAAATATGTTGTATATATATTTAATAAAATAAAGCGGCTGAAGAAAGCTCTTGCAGTCTCTAAGCACCCTTGCGAAGGTGGTAGAAGGGGTAAGAAGCTGTCGGGACAAAGAGGAGACAGCAGCTTGTCTTGATGAAGTGTGCTCTGTCTTTTATTTATGTTTGTTGTAAATGGGTACAGACTAAACACTGAGAGCTCAGTAAGTGTATACCAATCGCCTACAATGGCTATGCATGCAGCAGACAGGCGCTGGGGTGCATAGAAGTATTGTCCTTGTGGGGTTGCTTTGCAGCAGCAACTGCAGCAAGTTCTGCTGAAACTCTCAACAGGCTGTCTCCTCTCTTCCCTATCCCTGGCCCTAAGACTCCAGGTCTCTCCCCTAGTAGACCTGGGGCCTGGGGTTTATCTAAGCTGCAATGGTGTATGCTTTTGTTATGTCTTTGACTTTGTTGCAATTCATAAACTCCTCTAAAAGGAGACAGAACCCTCATTATATTTCCTAGTTATTTAAGGCTCTTCTGGGGAGTTGATCAGAGCCACGATCCTCACAGATACAGCTGAAGTGCTTGATGCATTGAAGTGGTTAATACGATTTTGAGAGGGGGTTCTCGAGGCCGTTAGAAATAATCTCTTGTCTAGCTTGCTTAGGCTTTGATTACACATTACCTTCCCTACATTCCTTTGTGCATTTCACACTTATTAGAAACTATATTTGAAACTGTATAAGAAACCTTTTTGCTGGGGGCGAGCCTACAGGGGGCTGGCTATCAAAAACTAGGGGGAGCCTCCGTCAAACAATGTTTTTTATTATGATAACGCAAGCTTTAGAACAGCGGGTTGAAGAGTGCACTGTTATATTTTAAACCCATTCTGGTGAAGGGAGGACGTGAAGAGATTTTGATGTATTTCTGCTTTGTGCAGAACTACAAAAGAAGCACAGAAGTGTGGGGTGATACACTCAAAGAAACGCTGTCCCTCTCGGGGTGTCTCTCGGCGGTTATACTAAGATTAATTATATATTTGCTCTAGGAAGTGCTAAACAACTTCGGGCTTAATGCATCGAAGCCCTCAAAGCTCCTCCCATCATCCGTCAAGAAAAACTAACAACTCATAAATATGAATAAGACGAAGAGGAGTACAGGGATGCCTCAAGGTAGTTCTACAGGTGCTGCTAATCACTTCTTTAGGCTCCATCACTACCCCCTTCTTACGTGTGGGGGGGCTAAGCCGTGTCTCTTATCTTTTGTTTTGCTGTTCCCCTCTCGGTGCTGTTCCTTGCTTATCCTTTATATATCGCCTTTATATATACATATATATATATATATAAAGGTGTAGATGTGTCGCTCGGTACTGCCCCAGAGCTTTATGAATGTCTTAGACCTGCTGTCTAAACTCTTTTTATTTCTTTTTCTCGGGGGCACTAACATTTACAGCTCCAATATGAACAGGGTTTGTGCTTGCCCCCTTCCAAACCCTCTATCTTTCTTCTTAACTGCGTAAGTAGAAGAGGTCCTCTCCTCTGTTTGATGCGTAACCATTAAACAGAGAACAACACCCCTTATCATACCATCTTGACGGCCCTTTCATCCTTTTAATTGTCTCTCTACAGTAGAACTGGCTAAGGTTTACCTGTCTCCAACACATATATGTGCTCAGACCCGTTGATATAGAAAGAAAAAGCTCTTTCATCACCAGTGACGAGTACTTCTCTCTGCACTCACTTACAAACATATTCCTCTCTTTAGGTTGTCTCTGTTCTGCATTAACGGCTCCGTTGGTGAACGGGGGTATATACACCTGAAAGCTTCTTGACTTGATGAAGAGCCAGACAAGAAGCTTTAATAGTATAGAGGTGCTTCTCGGGAGAAGTAGTCAGTCTCCTTGTTTTGATATACCCACTGTTGTCGTGTGTCCCCGTATAATAAAAATAATGCTAATACAACTGTAGCTCTTCAGATGCATTTTAATAAAAGAAATACAAACCCTGAAAAGAAAAGAACTTCTTTATAATACTTCTGTGTATTGAGACTAGTTAAATACAGATTGCTAACAAAGGCAGGGAGATCTTTGTTTGAATTGGCATCATTGAGAGACATTTTCATTAAAAAAAGATTAAAGAGACAGCCTTTGTTTTGATGATGGACCACTGGTCACGGGTCCCCATCAATGCTAACTTCGTCACATAAGATGTCTCCTTTTCAGTCTCTGTACTAAGCAAAAGGAGACAAGGGCAGGCATTTTAAGAAGCAATAATAATATTTAAAACATTTAAAAGAAGACGTGCATACAGATATTTTCAGTTAATATTAATAACACAGCGCTCTACCAAACCCTCAGAGATATACACCACGTAGCTCAGCTGTACATGCGGGGATCGTTGCTCTGATCACCTCCCCAGAAGAGCCTTAAATAACTAGAAAATATAATGAGGGTTCTGTCTCCTTTTAGAGGACTTTATCAATTGCAACAAAGTCAAAGACACAACAAAAGCATACACCATTGCAGCTTAGATAAACCCCAGGCCCCAGGTCCACTAGGGGAGAGACCTGGAGTCTTAGGGCCAGGGATAGGGAAGAGAGGAGACAGACAGCTCGTTAAGAGTTGCAGAGCAGCAGAACTTGCTGCTGCTGCTGCTGCTGCTTCTGCAAGGCAAGGGAATCCGTTAATGAATGTACGCATGCATGTCCATCTAAGCCCCCCTTTGCTGCATGCACAATCATTTAAGAGACTGTTAAAGAGATACTTTGTTCATAGTAGCCAACCTGCTAGCAAGGAGAAACATATATTCATGTCTATATAGTTAATATAAATCACTTGCACAAATATACACACTACGCATGCTGTATCTATTTACTTTAATATACCAATTGATGTGCCGATACACCTCATCTCTACGCCTCCACCGTCCTCACCAAGTACAATAACTGTAGATACACCCCACTGCTGCTGTTGCTGCTGTTGCTGCTGCCGTTGCTGCTATTGCTGATGTTCCTGCTGCTGTTACATGTGCTGGACGGTAGTCAGCAGCAGCAGCAGCAGAGCTATCTGCATTCTTTTGATCTTTATCTTGTATTAAATAAATTGAATATAGATTTAAATATTAAATTATTTATATTTTACTTTGCTTAGAGTTATTATGCTATAACCTGCACGGGGGCCTCTCTGGGTCTTGCTGCTGCTGCTGCTGCTGCTGCTGCAAGGGCCCCGCGCAAGATGGTTTGCTGCTTGCTGCATTTGTTTAGGAGGTGAAACAAAATAAAACATCTGCTGCTGCCTTCTTTTGATTCAAAACATTCAGCTACTGCCGTCTCGATTAGCAGCGCTGCTGCCGCTGCTGCTGCTGCTGCAGATCTCCTCCTCTGGGAGGCGACCGCTTGCTGCAGCAGCAGCAGCTGCTGCTGCCGCTGCTGCAGCTGCAGGTACAGGTAGAGCTACGGCATAAGCCAAGGCTGCACTGCAACCAGCAGCAGAAGCAGCAGCAACACCAACAACAACACCAACAGCAGGCGAAGCGGCAGCTGCAGCTCGAGCAGCAGCAGCAGCAGCAGCAACAATAACGGGTAGCCACCAATCTCCGGTGTACAGACATTAATCTGCTGCGAAGATGCAGGAGACCTGTGAGTAGAAGGAGAGGCTTTTCAGCTGCTGTCTTTACCCTTGCTGCTCTCTCTTCTGCAGTCAATGAATCGACATACCAAATTGCTGCTCCTGCTGCTGCTGCTGCTGCTGCTGCTACTGCTGCAGCCGCCGCTGCGGCGGCTGCTGCACGTGAGTTTGCTGCTGGTGAAGACCTTTTGACTGTGTTTGAATGTGGCCATTGCTGCTGCTGCTGTTGCTGCTGCTGTTGTTGCTGCTGTTGCTGCTGCTGTTGTTGCTGCTGTTGCTGCAGCAGCGAGTAACACGCGGAATTTGGTGCTGTCGGTGTGCGACTTTAAGCTGCATCACCTGCCTGCAGCAGGAGCAGCAGGAGCAGCAGGAGCAGCAGCAGCAACAGCAGCAGCAGGAGCCCAAGGCCGGGTAGGAAGCAAACTCATTGTTGGTAGAGGCACTCAGCTGCTGCTGCATGGAGGTGCTGACGAGTTCGGCTGCTACAGCGACCTGCACTCTATAGAGCTCGGTGAGGGTTTAGGGTTTAGGGTTTAGGGTTTACGGCTTCGATAGTGGAGCTTGGAGCGGGCTTGGGATGCAATCATTGTGGGCACTGGAAGGGTTTAGGGTTTAGGGTTTAGGGTTTAGGGTTTCTGCAGAGAAGGCTTGCTGCCGCGAGTGAGTTGTTGGTTGTTTAGGGTTTAGGGTTTAGGGTTTGTGCAGAGAAGGCTTGCTGCCGCGAGTGAGTTGTTGGTTGTCTAGGGCTTAGGGTTTAGGGTTTAGGGTTTAGGGTTTAGGGTTTAGGGTTTAGGGTTTGTGCAGAGAAGGCTTGCTGCCGCGAGTTGTTGGTTGGGGGGTTCTCAAAGCCCTCTGGCCGCTTCGGACATTCGCTGCTGCAGCACAGCGGCGCAGCAATTTTGTTTGGAGGTTTAGCTGAGGAGGAAGACGAAGAGCAGCAGCAGCAGCAGCAGAGAATTAAGGTCAGGCTTGCTGCTGCTGGAAGTGCTGCTGCTCGGCCTGCTGCTGCTGCTGCTCGCGGTCGTGCTACTCATCCTGCTGCTGCCGTTGCTGCTGTTGCTCGTTCTGCTGCTTCTGTTACTTGTGCTGCTCCTCTTGTTGCTGCCGCTTTAGCTGCTGTTTCTGCTGCAGTTGGGCTTGCTGCTGCTGCTCTTCCTGCTGCTGCTCATGCTGCTGCTGTGCTGCTGCTGCTGTTGTTGTTGCTGCTGCTCCCGCTGCTGCTGCGTAGTTTGTTTGCTGCGCAACAAACGCACAAACAAAACTGCCGATGCCAGTAGTTGCAGCAGCAGCATGAGCAGCACAGGCAGCTGCTGCACCAGCAGCAGCAGCAACAACATCAGCAACAACAGCAGCACGAACAGCAGCAGCAGCAGCAGCAGCAATGCGTTGCGTTTTGATTTTGCAGTATGCTCCTCCCCCCTTTCTGAGCCCTGAAACTCCTTGGTATCATCAACCCCAACCAAGTGCAGACCTCTTCTCTCTACAGGTTTGCTGCTGCTGCTGCTGCTGCTGCTGCTTGTGTTGTTGTTGTTGTTGTTGCTGTTGTTGTTGCTTGTGCTGCTGCTGTTGCTGTTTTTGTTTGTTGGTGTTTGTTGCTGTTTGTTGTTGTTTGTTGTTTGCTGTCTCCGTGCTGCTGCTGCTGCTGCTGCTGTTGCTGCTGCTGCTGCTGTTGCTGCTGCTGCCCTCTTACGTGCTTTGCACATGCATCATCTTTTCTGCTGCTGACGGTTTAGGGTTTATGTCTTAGGGCTTAGGGCTTTAGGGTTTAGGGTTTAGGGTTTAGGGTTTAGGGTTTAGGGTTTGTGAGCAGCTGGACGACCTCGAATGGTCACAGCCGGAGACTGAGGGTTTGCCTCCGCAGCCGCGTGCCTTCCACGCTGCAGCAAGTAAGCAGCAGCAGCAGCAGCAGCAGCAACAGCAGCAGCAGCAACAACAACAACAGCAATAGTAGCAGCAGCAACAGCCGTATCTACAGCAGCAGCAACAGAAACAACCAATGCAGCAGCACCACCACGCACAGCAACAGCAATACCTAGAGCAGCAGCAGCAACAGCAACAGCAACAGCAGCAGCAGTTAACTGCAACACGAGCAGCAGCAGCAACAGCAACAGCACTTATTTGTGGTTTTGCATGCAGTTTGCGGGGAATATATGATAATCTTCGGGGGAACAACAAACGCAACATTCACGGAGGTCCGTTGCTGCTGCTGCTGCTGCTGCTTCTGCTGCTGCTGTTGCTGCTGCTTCTGCTGCTGCTGTTTCTGCTGCTGCTGCTGCTGTTGCTGCTGTTGCTGCTGCTGGTGCTGCTGACGCTGTTGCTGCTGCCGGTAGTGCTACTCCATCATCAGCTGCTGCAACTGCATGTATATATGAGCAGCTGCGCTTTATGCTGCTGCTGGTGTTGCGGTTGCTGCTGCTGCAACTGCTGCTGCTGCGATTGCTGCTGCTGCTGGTGCTGCTGCTGCAGTTGTGTAATGATTTGCATCTGCTGGACCTGAGGTCGTGGCGCTGGGCGAGCAGCTGCATTGAAGAGGAGACAGAGACAAAAAGAGAGACAGCAGCAGCAGCAGCAGCAGAAGAGACAGAGAAGGAGACAGCAACAGAGACAGAGACAGACGAAAAGAGACAGACAGCAGAAGCTGCATGCACTGCTGAGCTGCAGCTGCTGCTGCGGGGCCCTTCTCCTTCTCCTCGTTGCGGGCATGCGATGGTTTCAGTCGCCAACAGAAACAGATGCATCATGTTCGGGTCAGTTAGGGTTTAGGGTTTAGGGTTTAGGGCTTATGGTTTAGGGTTTAGGGTTTAGGGTTTAGGGGCTTTGCTGCTATGTGATCTCGTTGCTGTTGCAGCGGCGAAGAGGAAGACGGAGCGCTCTGGGCTCTGGACTTTCAAGTTGCTGTTAAAAACCGCAGCAGCAGCAGCAGCAGCAGCAGCAGCAGCAGCGAGACAGAGCTGGTTGAGCGAGTTGAGGCGACGTGGAGTATTATACCGGTGCGTTGTGCTGCTGTGAGGTGTATAGACAGCGAAGGTTTATGTTTTGATGTCTCTTCTTGCTGAAGGCAGCTTTGCTGCTGCGGGAAGTGTTGTTACTGCTGCTGCTGCTGCTGCTGGTCCTTTCTACCTTTGCTACCGATGCTGCTGCTCCTGCTTTTGCTGCTGTTGGTTTTTGCTGCTGCTGCAGCTTTGTTCTTTGCTGCTGCTCTTCCGGGTGTCTCTTCTGCAGAAGTGTGTCTGTATTTCTGCTGCTGCTGCTGCTGCTGCTGCTGTTTGCTGCTGCAGACGCAGCAGACACCTCCCCCCAGTCGCCGCTTTCATTCATTTGTGCTGCTGGAGAATCGGCGGCTGCTGGTGTTTGGCGGGAGAAGCATCAGAAGACCTCAAGACCCTCTGGGTCTGTACGTGCTGCAGTTAGATGCATGCAAGTGGCAGCGCCCTCTCTATGAAGGTAAACTCCAGCAGCAGCAGCAGCAGCAGCAGCAGCGGCGGCGGCGGCGGCGGTAGCAGTAGCAGCAACACGGGCAGCTGCAGCGGCAACCTTTAGCAGACAAATGAACGAACAAACGCAAAAGATATGCATGCGGCTTCATGAAGCTACTGCTGCTGCTGCTGCTGCTGCTGCTGCTGTTGCTGCTGCTGCTGCTGCTTGTGCTGCAGGATCTTTGAATCTTGCTGCGCAGAGCGAAGCTGTGCTTCACGATAAATTAATTGTATTTGGAGGGGCTGCAGAAGCAGCAAAAGCCCTCCCTTCTCCCCACACAAAACGTAAGTCAATGCATGCACCTGAACTTTATTTGCTGCTGCTGCTGCTGCCGATACAGATGGTGCTGATGCTGCTGTTGCTGGTGCTGTTGCTGCTGCTGATGCTGATGGTATTTATGCTGCTGCTGGTGCTGATGCTGCTGTTGCTGCTGGCTGCGTCGCTGTTGTGTGTGGTGTCAGCTGGTGCCACGGATGCGCCCAGCAGCAGCAGCAACAGCAGCAGCAGCAGCAGCAGCAGCAGCAACAGCAGCAGCAGCAGCACCACCACCACCACCATCAGCCGGCAGCTGCTGTTTCTTTCTGTGCTGGAGATAAAGGAAGGCGTTGCAGCAGCAGACATGAAGTTTAAAGTTGTTACAGTAGGAGACTCAGGAGTTGGTAAATCTTGTCTCCTCACGCGCTTCGTACAGGTAATCTAGGGTTTAGGGTTTAGGGTTTAGGGTTTAGGGTTTAGGGTTTAGGGTTTAGGGTTTGTTAGGGTTTGTTAGGGTTTAGGGCTTGTTAGGGTGGATAAATGAATGAATAAGCAATTATAATTTGTTTATTTATTAATGTATATATTTACAGTAAATAGATTAAGAAGAAAAACAAAATAAAGAGTATTATATTTGTTAATAAACTTATTCAATATGAACAAATAGATAAAAAAGAATACAAACCAAAACTATAAGATTATAGTTGTTTATAAATTAATAAATTAATAATACAATAATACTGTAAGAAGGAATAACAAAGAAAAGAACAATGAAAATAATATTAATAATAACCCTAAACCCTAAACCCTAAACCCTAAACAATGAAAATAATATTAATAATAACCCTAAACCCTAAACCCTAAACAATGAGAATAATATTTTTTTAAAACTTGTGCTGCAGGACGAATTCTCTTCTTTTCACGTCTCTACAATCGGATGCGATTTTCTGTCTTTGTCTGTGATGATCGGCGGCCGTCTTTGTTTATTTAACTTCTGGGATACAGCAGGACAAGAAAGGTTTAGCGGTATTACTAAAAATTACTATTTAAATGCAGATGCTTTCGTCTTCGTCTTTGATGCAACAAATCTTCAATCCTTTGATAGACTCTCCAGATGGATTCAACAGGTTATAACCAATTCACCCTAAACCCTAAACCCTAAACCCTAAACCCTAAACCCTAATGCTGTGCATTATATACACCCCAATAAGTAATAGACGATAAACTTTAAACCCTATTCCTGTGCATTATAAACACTCCAGTAAACCCTAAACCCTAATCCTTTGCATTAGATACACCCTAATAAACCCTAAACCCTAATCCTTTAAACAACCCCTTCTTTCTGCTTAGTATGTTGATTGAACAGGTTTTTCTTTGTGCATTATATACACCTCAATAAATCTTAAAACCCTAAACCCTTTTCTCTTTATGCATTAAAAATAAATAGCATTTGAATGTTATTCGTTTGTCCAGTTATACATTATAGTAATATTATATATATATATATATATAGATATATATATATATATATTTGTATATTGTATATAAATATATATATATATATAGATATATATATTTATATATTTGTATATGTAATTTAATATTGCATTAAATATTCTACTATATATTGAGCCTATTATATTCTCTATAGTACAATATAACAAAATATATACTATATATATGTAGTATATCTATACATATATATAGTATATCTATACATATATATGTTATATAAATAATATATTATATATATATATATTATTATATATATTGAGTTGGTTGAATTGTCTGTGTTTGAAGGTAAAGCAGAACCAACAAGAAGAGAAACAAGCCTTATTTCTTATTTTGTGTAACAAGTTTGATTTAGTAGAAGAGCAGCAAATCGATTTGCAGCAGGCTGCTCTCTTTGCTGCTTCTGTTGGGGCAGACTTTCTCTGCACTTCGGCCAAAGTATGAACAACATACATGCACTTAATAACAACTAGCTAGCTAGCTAGCTAGCTAGCTAGCTAGCTAAGAAGTAGATTGCTGGCTTGCTGGCTAGCTAGCTAGATAACTAGCTAGCCAGCTGGATACTTAAGTAGAAGTTGTGTTGTGCTGTCACATAGTTAGACAGGTAGCTAGATAGCTAGTTAGCTAGTTGAAGGGGTATGTGGCTAGCTAGCTGCCTAGCTAGCTGGGGAGCTAGCTAGCTAGCTATTAATTAGAGTGTGCGGGTTCGATGGTTGAACTCCTCTTCGAAGGTCAAGAATGGAGGGAGACTATTATGGTTTAGGGCCTAGGGTTTAGGGTTTAGGGTTTATGGTTTAGGGCCTAGGGTTTAGGGTTTAGGGTTTGTTTTTGTGCAGACGTCGGCCAACGTGGACACCGCGTTTTTGAGTCTCGCCTCAAAGCTGGTGGAGCAGCGCCGTGCTGCTGCTGCTGCTGCTGCTGCCGCTGCTGCTGCTGCTGCTGCATCGGGCAGCAGCAGCAGCGGGGGCGCAGCAGCAGGTGGAGGGACTGTCTCCCTTGTTCATTCTGCTGCTGCTGCTGAGCAAACCCGCAACTCTTGCAGCAGCTGCGCAGGAAGGCTGCGAGGCCCTGTGCGACCTTCAGCTGTTTAAACCCTAAACCCTAAACCCTAGTTTAGCTGCATTTGTTTCTTCACAAACAACTTTCTTCTGTCAGTAACGTGGGGGAGACGCTCCTTTAAAAAAATCTCTAGATTAGGGTTTAGGGTTTAGGGTTTAGGGTTTAGGGTTTAGGTGTTCCACTTGCTCAGGGCGTTTGCTACAAGCCTTTTTGCCTCAACAACCTCTAGAGACAGAAAAAGGGTCTTTGAATTATTTACTCTTAAGAAGACAAAGCAAAAACTGTCTCCTAAGGGTTTAGGGTTTAGGGTTTAGGGTTTAGATAGGCAGAGAAGGGATTTACGACTGATTCACTCTTAAGGAGACAGAACAAAAACTGTCTCCTGAGGGTTTAGGGTTTAGGGTTTAGGGTTTAGACAGACAGCCTTCGCCTGAGCTGCTGGCACTCGCAGTAGAAAGGCAGAGCTGCTTATTAATATTGCAGCGTTATGTTTGTTATAGTAATATAATAATAAAAGTAATATAATAATAATAATAATATAATAATAATATAATAATAATATATAATAATATATAATACTAATATTATTAGTATCCTACCAGTGACAATCTTAACGCAGCAAAAATATAAAAATAATGCATAAGAAAGTAATAATGTAATATAATAATGATATTATTATTACTGTTATTATTATTATTATTAGTAATATTGTTATTGTTATTATTATTAGTATTATTGTTATTGTTATTGTTATTAGTATTATATTAGTATTACATTAGTATTACATTAGTATTATATTATACTAGTATTATGTTATATTAGTATTATATTAGTATTAGTTTGCGAAGTAGTAATAGGCCCTGAGGGCTTCGTAGACTTTAAATAAACCCTTGATGGTTTATATTTGGTCAGTTCACCACTGAGGTTTAATTAGGGTTTGGGGTTTAGGGTTTAGGGTTTAGGGTTTAGAAGATATAGATATATCTGTGCAGAAGGAAGGCAGAAGGGGGTGCTTATTAAGGTAGACTCTGTGAAATAAACAAACAGAAGCATGAAATAAAATAAATAAATATATTTAATGATATAAAATAACTCAAACAACTGCATAAAACAAAATGAACTTATTTATTTTCTCTTGCTGCTGGGGGCTGCGGGGCCCCCCTCAACTCTCCGAGTGTACGAAAGCTGCAATAAAATGAATAAAGAGGAGGTAAAATTGCAATAAATTTGAATTAAATATTTAAAAAATAATATATTTTCGTTTATATTTAATTAAAACAGCCCCAATGATATAATCTGCTGCTGCATGCACAGCAAAGGCTTCCGCTGTCTACACTGCAGCCAGCAGCAGCAGCTGCTGCTGCTCTATCCGTTATTTTCTGTTTTTCTTTGTTCTTCTCTTTCTTTATTTTAATACCATCGCGAGGCCTGCGGTGTATAGGCAGCTACTGAGGCCCTTTCTCGCAATAACACACCTGCCTTGTTGTTTTCTTAAACCCTAAACCCTAAACCCTAAACCCTAATAGTTGTTGCGCTGCAAAACCATGACAGAAGAGCCTCTCCAGGATGAGGGCGCGGGCCCGCCTGAGGCGGCCTCAACTCTTGCTGCTGCTCTTGCTGCTCTTGAAGGGGACTTGCAGCAGCAGCAGCAGCAGCAGCTGCAGCAGCAAGTGCTGCAGCAGTTAAAGGAGCGCACCTGCAGCAGCAGCTGCAGCGGAGACCCTGTGTTCAGTGCTGAAGAATTCTCGCAGCTGTGCAGCAGCGTGCTGCTGTCTCCTGCTGCTTGCAGCAACATCAAACGCAGCAGCAGCAGCTGGCGCTGCTGCTTCTCTCGCCTTCAGTCCGCAGCAGCAAAGGCACTAGCATGCGAAGCAGCAGCAGCAGCAGCAGCGGGGAAAGAGACAGAGGCGCAGCAGCAGCAGCAGCAGCTCCCTTTGCTGCAGCTTTTCTGCTCGACACTGCAGGAGACAATCAAAGGCCTCAGCTGCAGCGCAGCAGCAGCAGCTGTCGGCAGCAGCTTCCTCACCATATTGCTGCAGCTGCCTCCTGCTGCTCTTGCTGCTGCTGCGGCTGTAGACTGCTGCGCACAAAGCATCAGACAAGTGCTGCAGCAGATGGAGCGGGTGTTTGCTGATGTGTTTGCTGTTGCGTTTGAGCACCACAGTCGCCAGCAGCAGCAGCAGCAGCAGCAGCAGCAGCACGAGCACCAGCAGCAGCAGCAGCAGCAAGAGGTGCTGCAGGTACAAGTAGAGCAGCTGCTGCACCGTCAAGTGTTGCGGCTTCCGTGGGTCCACGTGCTGCAGCAGCTGCTGCAGCAGTCTTCTAAGGCAAGGGCATATGCGCTGCAGGTAGCAGAGAACAGCGTAAGCAGCAGCAGCAGCAGCAGCAGCATTTGCTGCTGGATGCTGTGCCGCTGGGCCTGTGATGTTCTGCTTCATAGAAATATTAGACGCGATGCTTCTGCTGCTGCTGCTGCAGCAGCAGCAGAAGCAAAAAAGGAGGCTCTTCAGGTTCGGGATAAACTGCTTCATATATTTCTTCAGGTACTACCAACAGCAGCAGCAGCAGCAACAACAACGAAAACAGCAGCAGCAGCAGCAAAAGCAGCAGCAGCAGCAGCAAAGATGAGATGCAGTTCTTCGTCCAAGTGCAGCAGCAGCAGCAGCAGCAATAGCAGCAACAGCAGCAGCGGCAGTAGAAGTAGTAGTAATAGTAGCGGCAAAAGCAGCACTAGCAGCAGCAGGAGCAGAAGAAGCAGCAAAAGCAGCAGCAGGAGCAGCAGCAGCAGGAAGAGGCGATTGTTTGTTTGCTGTTTATGTCTTGTGTTTTGCTGCAGCTGCTGGAGGGCCGGCGAGGCTCTGGGGTGTCTCTGCATGTATCGTTTGCTGCTCTAGGTTTGCTGCTGCAGCAAGAAGACTGGGAAGCAGTTGTTGCTCCTGCAGCAGCAAAAGGCTTTGCGCGCTCCTTTGATGCTGTGGGGCCCCCGGTGCTGCTGCTGCTGCGACATTCAAGATCAGACTGCTCCAAGTAAGTTGCTTCCCATGCTGCTGCTGCTGCTGTTCTTGTTGCTGCTGCTGTTGCTGCTGCTGTTTCTGCTGCTGCTGCTGTTGATGCTGCTGTTGCTGCTGCTGTTGCTACTGCTGTTGCTGTTGCTGTTGCTGTTGCTACTGTTTGCAGCAGGCTGCCTCTGCAACTGTATTTCCCTGGTTCGGCTCTCTGTTCAGCCTCTGCTGCTGCTGCTGCTGCTGCTGCTGCTGCTGCTGCTGTTGCGTAGGTGTCTGCTTCTGCTGATCGAGGAGCTGCTGCCTACTCTGAAGGGAGCAGCAACACTTGCTGCAGCTGCACGAGGCCGTGCTGCTCTTGCTGTCAGCATCATAAGACAAGCAGCAGCAAACTGCCGCACTGCAGCAGCGCCTCTTAAAGTGCAGCAGCAGCTGCTGCGCGAATTAAATGCTCCAGGCCTTAAAACATTCGACTTCATTGCGGTGCTGCAGGTAATCCTCGCTGCTGCTGCTGCTGTTAGTGCTGCTGCTGCTGCTGCCGTTAGTGCTGCTACTGCTGCTGCTGTTAGTGCTGCTGCCGTTACTGCTGTTAGTGCTGCTGTTGCTGTAAGTGCGGGTGCTGCTGCTGTTAGTGCTGCTTCTGCTAGTGCTGGCGATGCTTCTGCTTTTGCTTCTGCTGCTGTTGCTCCTGCTGCTGTCGATGCTGCTGCTGTTGATGTTGCTGCTGTTGCTGCTGCTGGGCTTGGGGTTATTACCTTCTTTTTTTTTGTTTGCAA